TCAATTATCTTGTCGTTAAGTTTCATAATTCAAACATTGTATTAATCTCCCAATAGATGTAATAACACTTGTATCAACATTGTGCTAGTCTCTCATTGAAGGTAGCAACACTATTATTTAAAAAAAAAAATTCATCTCTCATCGAATATAATGACACTAATACAATTCAATCCTACATGACCCATTCAGCTCTAACTCCACTTCTTCTGAACTATTTTTAAAAAAAGCAAAATTACAGGACATAGGTGTCGCTACATTAACCAACAACACTCTTATTGATTACCCTACGTTTATAATATGTTTAAAGCCAACCTCATTTATGTATTAGGGTCAAAAAGCCCCACAGGAACATACACATATTACCTCAAATCTGCAAAAATGCTTGTGATCGTAATTTGTCCATTCCAAGTGTTATGAAAAAAACCAATTATAAAAGTGAATTGGTGATTGTGAGTGAAACAGAGAACACTTTGAAAAAGAGTTAAATCCCTGCCTTAGAAAAGTGAAATGAGACATTGGTGGTGCAGTTTGTCAACAACATAAATATCAAGTTAAGAAGGGTTGCATTTGTAGGTTGGGGATGAATATGATATCTTAGTGTGTTTCATCCAATGATTGCCTAGATCATGTTGGGTACAGCTGCCAAGCCACTTTCGGTGGCTTTTCGTTCCAATTGAGCTTTTACCACTTTTTGGAGGAGTTTGGAACGGTCTGTTCCAATCTCGGAACAGCCCGTTCCAAATTAGGATTTTTTGGCTTTTTGGGAACCTCGAAATGGCCCGTTCCGGACCTTGGAACGACCCGTTCCGATTTTGGAATGGCCCGTTCCAGGCCCATAAAAATATTTAATTTGTGCTTTTGGGCCCTCTGAAGTCCTGTCTTCTCGTTGGCATGCTTCGGGAGCTCCTTCCCTTCGTAACAGAGATCCATGCCCTTGTTTGTGTGCCCCCCGGACGAAATTGGGTGTCTATAGCTGCCCCTCTTTACTTATCCTTTGGAATAGTAATGTGTTGCTTTTCCAAAGGCAAGGAAAGACGTAGACATTTCGTCCGGGTCTTCTCTTCGTCTCTTTGGTGCTTCTGCATTGTTTCCCTTGTGATAATATGTTCCTTTATTTGTTGCTGGTTGAAGAGGGAGTATATTTTGAGCTCAGCCTCTCCAGGCTGGACTGATATTTAGGGCTTCAGCCGGCCCACAGGTGGGAGCTCGACAGCAATCCTGATTTTGACTTTGAAGAACTCGGCGGTACCCTCATTGTCATTCACTGATTTTAGAGGCTCGACGACGACTCTCGATCAAACTGTGCTGATTTTTAAGGCTTCAACGGACCTATGGTGGGAGCTCGACGGTGGTCCCGATTTTGACTTTGAGGAACTCGGCGGTACCCTCGTTGGCGTTCACTGATTTTAGAGGCTCGACGGCTGCTCTCGATCAAGCTTGGCTGATTTTAAGGCTTCAACCGACCTGCGGTGGGAGCTCGGCGGCATCCCGATTTTGACTTCGAGGAACTCG